TCAAATCAACGGGCAAGGAAGGGGTCCCATTTCTCGGGTTCTGGGCCGTTTCTCATGGTTTTTCCTTCTTTCGTGTACCACTCACCATCCTAAGTTAATTTGAAATGGGTTGCCTTTCCAGCGTGAATTCGTCCTTTAATATAAAATGGACAGTATCTTCGATAAATTCTTACTAATGAAGGTTGGCACAGCAAGTGCATGTAAAGTCACTTATGTCGAGTTTGCTCTAAGTGTGAAAATTTTGTTGTTCTGGAACTGGAGATCGGAATGAATTACCAACGTAGTCAGTGCACGCGAGTATATGTGGTTTATCAGAAACGCAAAAAATATGAAAAAAAACAATTCTGCAAGGCGTGCACCACCGTGTAGTGCACGTCGGCCATTTTGCGCCAACAGCATCAAGCATCCGCCGCCTCGTGGATTCTTTCAAAAAATCACACTTCACCAGTGTGTCTTGCACTTTTAATCCTTTAACATATGGAAATTTGATTTTTGTGTGTTTTCAAACTTCAAGCTATTTTCGCTGCAAAAATTCATTAAAATTCGGCGTTTGCCTTTTTATCGAGCGTGTCGAGCTGGAGCTATTCACTTGAATAAACTCGTAATAAGACAGCTGAAGAATACTAAGGAAGACGACATTCGAATGAGTGGATCCGCTTTCGACCATCAGTATGTGAAGAGAAAAATAGTTATTAGTGTCGTGCGCTACAATGCAGTGAATTTACAGGCATTTTGAAACATCCGGCTCTTCCCCTCAGCGGCGCTTCATCGCACGCTGTTCGCGAGCGCAGTGGATGCGTAAGCTTGGCAAGAGATCGCGTATTACTCTGAGATCTTCATTGGTTTTGTCACGATTTTGTCTGTGAACACGATAAGCTCTTCAATCAATATGGAAATGAGTAAAATGAAAATTCTCTTCGGAATCTGCTGTTGCTATGAAAAGCTCTGGAAACCTTCAAAGGCGTACGTGGTTCTTATAAATGACAAATGAGGCTCTTGAAGTGGCCAACTTGGAAGGATGTGCCAGGCATCCAAGCTGAAATAAGGGGAATCTTACCATAGACTGTAAGAGCAATGAGGAAGCCTGTTTGTCGTTATGTGAGAAGCTTCATGTATTTTCTTGTATTCTGCCTTTGTTTCAGAAGGGCTGAGTACAAGAAAGGAAGAGAGGGTGCACCATGGTTAGTATAATATTTGCAAATGGTCTATGAATTGATTAGGCAAAGGCAAACCCGGAATTAGCCTAGTCTGTGGGAAGGATACCACAAGGGAAATTGCAAAGGTCCGTATCTACATACCTGGACCAGCTTCGTCGCAGAAATTGCGCTGTTATGGCGGTAAGTCTGATGGGCCTGCAATCATCGACCACGTCGGAATGCCTCCCACCCACTTGATCGATGTGAAATTAGTTTGCCCTCTCGAGCAGAGCTCTTGTCAGCAAACCATCATTCCCCTTAGGGTCATTTGAAAGGTGTTTCGTCTACAAGACCACCTCATGGTGCAAGGTAAAAAGTATTTTTGGACTTAGTTTGCTAATAAAACTTCTTCGGTCATGTGTAATCTTGTCGTGACTTCATTTTGTACGCTACTTCCTATATCGACCTACATAGTTCTGATGGATGTCGTATTTCCGACAGCAACGTGTGATTATATCAGGAAGGCTGCGAATCTTCCCGTCCTGAAATTTCTACCGATATGCTGCTCCTCCACTAGGCTCTCAAAGCGTACGTTAATTCAGAGAAGTTATTTACTATTTACAATAACATTGATTCTTTTTGCAAGGAGCGTTTCATCCCAGTGGAATCGTGCTGATCACTTGAGACAAAATAAGCGCTTTCCAATTGATTTCATTCCAGTGAAAATCAATGATACCAACTGATTTCCTCCCCCCCCCCCACCTCCTGCAGAATGGTAACAGTGAGTGCATGATACAACAGATGAGTGGCACTAGCACCGCCGTGTCCATTGTTGGTTCTTGCTCTTACAACTCTCTCACCTCCGTTCAAACCAATACGACACCCTGTCCGAGGATTTTCTCAACCGCTGTTCCTCACATTTCTTCCTCTTGAAGATAGGAATGAGACAGTATTTTCCATATTTACACCGGCGATGTAGCGCTTTTTTGCAATGTCTTCCTTGCCTCCAATTTATTCGGAAGGAATTTGTGTCAACTCAAAGCGAAAATTCATGTTAGCTTCAAAAGAATGCTGGGTTGTGAACAAAACTTTCGCCCCAGCCGGGACTAGACTCGTACCTCTCGCTTCGAACAAGTTGCGGCTACCTTGGGCATGCCAAATTTCATACCCAACTCCAGCTTTTCTCATGGTATACGTAGCCATAGCTTCCAGTCACTCTACACGGTCGAACAGTGTTAGCGCCGGTTGCCGATATCGCTGTGAACCTCCGCTGAAGGCTGAAAGCTTTAGCTTATTGTTCTTAGAAAATTCAATGCTTGTAAAAATAAAAAATGAAAAATTCAATCAAAAATCAAAATCAAAATCAAACTCATGTTAGCGTTCACAGCTGAAATGTGGCATAAATTTCTAACTCACTGGAAGGCCCATTCAACGGAAATGAGCCAAAAAACAGCTATCTAAAACTCCTCCTTCCTTTTCAAAAATTTTTCCACTAGACCTTGATATCAGATCGCTATTTGAGCCTCGCATAGACTTTGGAAAGAGAATGATGGATTTTTGAAGTCGCAGCCAAATAAAGGGATCTTCGAAATGGTGATAAGCAGTGATGCGGACGATACACGTTCCTGTATAAGCACATACTGAAGTACGACACGCTCAAATAAGAACGTCACTTTTTGGTCAAAGCACTCTACACAAAGACTGAATCCAATAAACGACCTTTCACATTTTTCGGCTCCATGATTGCATCGTTAGCATTTGGGTATCGAAGTGCGCCTCTCCTTCATGGCAATGAGTTCGATAATTTTGAATGAGTTTAGAGCGAGATATGGGGTGCTAATTAGTGGCGAAAAAAGGACCTACTAAGCAGTAACTTTACCTCACCCGATGGTTTTGAATTTTCAGTTTGGAAATGGTTGTTTGGGTATCCAGAATGCACAGCAACGCACTTCAAGGCCACAAGATATGGTTGGTGATATAGAAAGGTCTTTCTGAATTCAAATCGTATCAGTTGGAGCCGCACGCCTTCTGCGCGCGCAACACAGTTCTGCAATGATACGGCCTGAATGGTGGACGTGTGAATGTCAAATTTAGCCGCGATACACTAACAAATATTTGACTTTCAGCTAAAATTTCTCTGATTGCCCGTGCGCCCCATCACCGATGGCGCTTCCCCCTAAACTTCTTCGTCACATTGTTCGCTTTCTCGGGTCTCCGGACTGCTCTCAATATGATTTTATAGAATCTTCTGTAAACTCCGCTGTTGTCAATCGCATGTCCACAAGCTTTTTCTGCGCTCGCGCTAATTCTCCCCACTTTTTACCGATCTCTAAACTGTCTCTGGCCGATTATACCTTTTAAGGCAAACCCCGCAGTTTGGCAGTCAACCTCCCCTTCGTTGTCAGACCAATTCAACTTTTTCCTGTCTCAGTACTTATTGACCGAGTTATAATGGTTGTAAATAGCTCTGCCCACACTGATACACAGCCCACCCATATATGAATGCTGGCATCCATTCCTTCGCTCTCCTCTACTCCTTTTTCCCCAGCATCCGGGATCTCTTGGAATCGAATTATGAAGTTTTGTTGGCCATAACTCCCGCCCGGCCAAATAGAATTGACCTTTCTCTAACGCCAACCTCTCTCCACTTTTTTCCCAGTCTCTAAGACTTCTTAGAACCGAGATATAAGTTTGGTAGCAACTTCTTTGCTGGCCACGCCCGAGATTAAAATTTAGCCTCCCCTCATTCTCTGACCTCTATTTACCTTTTTCTAGTTTTCCATGTCTTCTCGGTACCAGTCATGGTAACTTGTAAGAAACGGCGTCTATTTCAGGGGACGTTTCCGCCAATTGGGGATCTTGAGACCCTTAGACATTGCTCCCCACACCCATTTTTATTCGGCTCTGTTAGATTTTCTCGCAAACAAGCTATGTAACTTTTTCACTGAAGCGCTGCTTTTAAAGAACGTCTCGCCATGCTGACGGTCATCGCCTTAGCTTTGATCTGGTCTTACCAGGCAAACACCTTTACACGCTTTTCCCTTCAGTTTTGAGCCTGTTTTGTGTTATTAGAATTCAAAATCTTGTCGTCATGCGCACTCAATATTCGATGTCACGCCACGCCCACTGTGGGCGGACTGCTGGTTGCTTAGCTGCGGTTGCATGTTCGTACTTCTACGAGACTTTGGCCCACCCATCCCACTCGCGTCTTCCCAGACGGGATTTCAGAGCTAGGAATTTCCGTGACAGCCTGCAGAAGAGCGACGATAGACAACAGCGAAGGCCTAGGTGATTTGGTACATCAACAATCCCTTCTTACGTGTGCGGCGTATGGTTCGTATATAGAGGCCGGTTTGCTCTCTACGGTTCGAAGTCTGGCTGACCTGTGTAGCGGACATACTGCATTGATTTTTATCCTTTTAGAGATACAACTATCCTATATCATTCCGGCGAAGTCGATTAGCCGGAGCGAATTCGGGCCCATTCTGCTACTACTGGCGCGATACTATCCTGAAATTTTGAGCTAATATATGTCGTTCACTGATGTCATTCAAATTCGCTTGCTAAGCGAATAAGAAGAAAAAATAGATTCAGACGGTGTTATTGTGAAAAAACATGGCAGTTTCTCGCATGTTTATGTACTCGACCTCCAGCCCCTTATCATCACTTCTGCTGTTATCGGTGCTGTGTCCCAGTTATGTGTTCAAAGCGGCTCGCTGCACCCTCAGTGCTATTATTCATTATAACTTCAGGTAGTGTCAGTATTGCTTTAAAATGGATTACTGTTTGAATAACAATCTTGATATGGCTCAATTTCAGGAACAGGCATTATACAACCTCCTCCAGAAGACAGTTTTGCAGACAATGCAAGGCGCTTCATATCTGATTTCACCAACTGGGACTGGAAACGAGATCAATACCTACGGTATACTAAAGGTCAGACTTTGTCATTAATAAGATGACCTTATATTGAATGTTCCCATCTCTTGCTCTTGCAGAACCTCAAAGGAATCCTTCAGGGGAAATCGTGATTCTATCTGACTCATGAATTACTGTTGAACCCATAACTATTAAGTCACGATAAGAGCGAAAGAACAAAAAATTGCTTCTGTTCCGATAAAGAGAGAAAAACCGGAAGGACTGCTACGCGTTCAAATTCCCGCCGACATCTGTCACAAATGCTGGCGACGGGAACGCTTCCACTTGGTTCTTGGAGTGCGTCACTAGAAACTTTTTGACCTTTTGACTTATTGCACTAACATCTCACACTTCTACTGCATCCTATTCTATCGATTTTTTGTCTCTACTCTCCAAAATCGCACGCTTTAACCCGATTCTTTCATTGCGTCGCCTGATACGTAGCCGCCCCAAGGCGCACTTCTTTCCATGCCCCGCCTTTGGCTCCGCGCGACCTACCTTCGACTGTCCATAGAGTGTGGTTTTCGTAAGTTTGTTTCTCTTCGGAAACTGAATCTTCGTGCGTGAAACTTTGTATGTTTTCCTAGTGATCACAACTGACATATTCATGTTGGGAAAGATGCAAGAATTTTCCGCGAAGGATTCCTTTCAAGGGAACTCTTCATAGAAAGCGCATTTAGTGGCGATAAAATTCAAAATTTAGAATTCCTCAAACCCTTTTACTCGGTATCTTGCTGAGCGACTCTAAATTTCACTGTCTAACTTTTCTAAGTATTCCTTTTTTCATTCCTTATTCCCGAGTCATGCCCGATTTTACTAATTTCATAGTCATAGTGCCATTCCTCAATGCTCTCAGTATTAGCATTTAGTCATTCAACCTTGGAACTTCGAAAACCGATATTTTCCTGAACTTCCGGAAATATGGACTTTTTTCTTCTCCAAATTATGTAGTAGATCCCATTCACTAATTTCAAAAATTCGCTCCGCTCTCCTCATCCAAAAACAACTGCTGTCGAGTAATCCTCGTTGTGAGATTACCTAGTTAGAGGAATTATGTAATAAAACAACACTGACCAATGTCTAAAAGCAATACATTTCCAAACTCGTTTCTGGGATCATTTTCGTGTCCACAGCGCATGACAGCTGGGCGAAAAACCTTAACTGCTTTAGCAATATTTCGAGCTTCCGAATGAATAGGGTACTGCTTTCGTGTGAATCTGTGTCCTTGACACCAGCTGGTTATTTAATTTATACAACTCTTCGCTCTCCGTCGGTGATCAAAATCACTTAGCGGTCCACTGACAGCCTTACGGCCATAGGAAGGCATTTTATGGCATTTGACACATTCACCGGCAGCCCATATGGGCTGCCAGCTGATAATCGCTTGCCAGGCGCTAGGAATGGACAGATAGGTGGGCAAATCTCGTAATCGAGTGTAAAATGCTTTTAAATTCCTTCACGGGGAAAGTGAATAAATGCTCTCTTTTCGTAACCACTATTCGTCGTTTGATCGAAATCCTACTATTATATGTTTAGATAATCTTTACGCATTGGACATTGCAGAAATTATTTTGTGACATTCATGTTTTTGTTCATTTACAGTAC